GGTCATTGGAAATGGCAGCTTAATAAGAGTCCAGAGAAATGTTCATTTTGTAAGCGCAGGAGTTTTCCTGGGCACTAATTTAGGCTGAGTCACAATAATAACTTACCATCATTTTAAGTGGTGTAATATAAGAATTCATTTCAACTGATATTAAGCATGACACTAATTCAGAATTAAATGCTAAGCACATTAGCAATTATGGTACAGTGCACTTTTACTTTCCAAGACTCTGCAGTAAGTTTTTCATCATTAATGGTTTACTTTTTTCTCTTCCATGCAGAGCTTATTATTTTAAGATGACTTCAAAATAGTTCACCACTAGAATGTTTACTTACATCACTTAAATATCCATTTCTTACAGCTGAATCTATCCACCAAACACGAGAGACTAGTATAGAAGTTAATTGAATACAGGTGGTTGAATGCTTGTGCTTAATACATAAAAAACCAACCTAAAGTTCCAGTTTCTCTAAAAACAATTAACCAAAAAAAAAAAAAAAACCCCTTGAATCCATGTTTAATTTATTAAAGCATAATTATAATTCTATTGCCTGACCTCACTCCCCGTCATAGACCAAAGACAACTTCTAAAGTGTATTATTATACAATGGAATATGATGATTGTTTTCTCAAAACATATTCACACAAATGTGTAAGTAGGGTGGGTATCATTACAGATTTTCCTTGGTTTTGCTTTCCTATCAGTAACTTTGAAAGTAGAATTTGGCATATTCCTATACTGGAGAGGTTCCGCAATCCTGAATTAAAACACAGCGACCAACAGTCTTGACTAGGACTGAGAGATTCTCAGAACTTTTGGTTTTAAAACCAGAATGATCTAAGGCAAATGGAAAATCCCAAGCAGTTCTAGTTTTAAAACCAGAATGATCTAAGGCAAAGGGATACAAGTTGTTTATCCTAAAGTGGGTGAGATGGTGTTGAAGTAAAGACAGTTTTTGGAAAAAAAGGAACTTTTTACAGATCTTATTCCTGCTTTTGCAGGATTTTTCAAATTTCTCCCCTGGCCACCTCCCCATTGCAAAAGTCAAGCAAGTTAAAGGACGCTTTTTATCTCTGTGGTTCCAGATAAGACAGCAGTAACACCAGGAAGTTGTGCAGAAGGCAACAAGAGGTGGGGGCTTGGGCTCTAAGGCGAATGGTCTGGATTTGAACCCAGACTTTGCCACTCACTGGGTGGGATAGTCTGTGCCTCCATTCCCTCACATAGAAATAGAAATATTAACAACCAATTTAGTGTGTTGTATGAAGGGTGTCACTCATTCTGAGTGCAAGGAACTTGATTGTATTTATTGTGGTCTTGATTATGGTTATGAGCTTAGAGGAAGCCTTAGGTTTGCCAGCAACAGCCTTCATGATGTAGTCTTAGGAATCCTGGTTACTTTGAGCAACTTTCTGCAAGGGATGGCTTCCATTACCTAAAAATCTCAGCTACATTTTTGTTTGTTTTTCCTTTTCCAAGATATACACACGAAATGGTAGAAAAAATATTCAAACTTAGGACTCTTTCAGGAAATGTTGCATCAGTGTAATGGAATGATAACATTATCATGGTTCTTTTGGGGCTAACTGTGTTTTTAGGGAAGGATGACAAATTCTTTTGAGTTTATTTTTTTAACCCCTAGTATTATAATAAAGCTATTTTATTGAATATCTCTTTGTTTGTTTTTTAAGACAGAGTTTTACTACATCACCCTGGGTAGAGTGCCATTGCATCACAGCTCACAGAAACCTCAAACTCTTGGTTTTACTTTTCTATCAGTAACTTTGAAAGTAAAATTCTCTTGCCTCAGCCTCCTAAGTAGCTGGGACTACAGGCCCCTGCCACAGTGCCCGGCTATTTATTTTTGTGGTTGTTTTTGTAGTTGTCACTGTTGTTTAGCAGACCCAGGCTGGGTTTGAACCCGCCAGCCTTGGTGTATGTGGCTAGCACACTAACCACTGATTATGGGCGCTGAGAAAGTTTTTGTGTGATATAGGCTAGCAGCATACCTGAATATGGTCTATATTTTGAACACCTTTTAAAGTCAAAATGGTAATGGTGGATCTTTTCAGCCATTTACTTTGTGTTTGTTAGGATGGATTCTTGACTTTCAGTATCCGATTCATACTACAACATATTTTGTATCATGAAAATTCCCTTTAAATGAACATATAATGTGGCTACATCCTATGTTTTATGTAGATATGCTAGCTTATCTAATCATAAAAGTTATTTACTCAATTTTACAATTCGGTGTTAAAAAGCTCACTTTTGTTCAAAATACACAAATATTTTTGGTAAGAGTGCTGTTTTTTCATTTTTTGGGGGGAAATGCTTTAGTTCCTATTTTCCTTTATATGTGCTAGACAGGCTTTCTACACGTGAAGAACTCTCCACTCTACTCTGTGCTGCTTAAAGATGTTAAGCAGCCCCATTTATGCCTCAAAATGAACTCTAAAACCCCAAACTCTGCTTGGCAGTTGTCTCACGATGTACCCTATACATTGCCTTGGATTTCTGTTTAGACATAAACTCTTGGCATTATGGACCCCAATACAGATCTATAAGAAAAAGTCATTTGTAATAACAGTATGCTGGAAGGCTGAGGCGGGTGGCTTGCCTGAACTCACAAGTTCCACACCAGCCTGAGCCAGAGTGAGAGCGTGTTGCTAAAAATAGCTGGGCATTGTGGTTGGTGCCTGTTAGACCCAGCTACCTGAGAGGCTGAAGTAAGCGAATCGCTTGAGCCCAAGAGTCTGAGGTTGCTGTGAACTATGATGCCATGTCACTTTACCAGGGGCGACAAGGTGAGACTCTGTCTCAAAAAAAGAAAAAAGTCATTTAGTATTAAACATTTTCCCATGGAAAAAAAGAATTCCCACAGGGCAGCGCCTGTGGCTCAAAGGAGTAGGGCACCAGCCCCATATGCTGGAGGTGACGGGTTCAAACCCAGCCCTGGCCAAAAACTGCAAAAAAACAAAAAAGAATTCCCACAGTTTGAGTAAGATAAGAATTTGGCCTCTTGCCTAGAAGAAGGACATTGTCACAGAAGCTCTTATAGAATACAGTCAGACAAAGTCATAGTACTTCTGCTTGATTTACTTTTAATTAAAACAACAATTATTCAGAGATATTATTTATTGCTGTCACTGTATGCTAGCTATTCCTGTTTCTCCCTTACAAATGAAACTGTTTGGGGAGTTATCCAGTTCACATATCACAATGTGAAATAAATGCACTTCTGAAAATGTCTATATTGGAAAGCAGAAAAAGTGTATGTGTCATCTGTACTAAGAGAATTAGATCATCATCTGTGTGAAAAATGTTTCGGATAGTAGATCCTTTGTCATTTATACCTCCCATCACAAGCAAGCGCACTTTAAATCAAAAAGCTTGTTCCTGTGCCAGCAGCTCGCTGCTCTGTTCCTCTCTGTCTTTGCAACCTCACACACATAGGTGTGTATTCAGAAGCAAACGTGAGCACGTTTTTGGTTGCTAATATTTGTATTTTGCCTGAGTTCGGATTCCAGGGAAGAGCTGTGCATTGCCATTGAATTTTATTTTCTATCTACTTTGTTTTAGTGTTAAGGAATGACCACACAGAGCACTGAAGATTAGAACACTAAGTGCCTAAGAATAGTAATTAAAAGGCAGCTAATAAAGAGACTAAAGATTTCGATGAGTTGTTGAAGACTTAAGCAGACAGTAGGAATTGAGGTAGGAGTTGGGGATTCTAAACACGTGTCCCAGTGATGGGAGAATAGCCCCTGACAGAGAAAGCTGTCGGATCCGATTGTCATCACTGTAGGAAGCACAGTGGGGCCAGGGATGCGGGCGGCAGTAGGTGGGTGGGACCCTTGTAACCAAATACTGCGCAGTTTCTGTGGCCAGCCTGGAGGTGTCCTCCTCCCTGTGAGGGTTTTCCCTTTTCTTCAAAGTTTGCCTGTCAGGATTTCTTCCTGGCCATTCCAATGGAAAGATACATTCCTAACAGCTTGGTTGTCAGGAAAGTACTAATAATATTTTCAAAGGTAAAGTTCAGTTTGAACTTTTGGAACCCGCCCCCGCCAAATCCAGCAACTGGAAGACGCCAGGACCAGCAGTAAACTATTCCCCAGATGCAAGTTCAGGGGGCGGGGGTGGGGGGGGCATGATGGAGAAGCTGAGTGGCCTTCTAGGGCCCAAATCAGATTTTGGCCTTTGCCCTAAAAAAAAAAAAAAAAAAAGAGTTCCTCGATCTGAGTTCGGAAGGGGACAAAATAAAGCAGTAACTACAGGAGCTGGCAGACAGGAGCGACGCTGAAGGGGGCAACTGAACCCCATTCCCCCAACCTCAGTTCCTCCAAAACGTCTGGCTGTAGGGGGAATCCCCCTCCGGTCCCGACTCGCTGTCGCCTCCTGAGAGGCAAGTTTCTTTCCCAGCGTTAGCCACCTGTGCGAGGCGCGCCCCGTGGGAAAGGTGGCATGGAGAGGCGAGAGCTCAGCCCCAGCGCTCGGGAGCTCTTCTCGGTTGCGGCTGGCGGGCCAAATGCCTCCAGAACTCAGAGCTCTTCGCGTGCCCAGTCTTCGGTGCCCTCGGGCTTGGCCAGGCTCCTAGCTCGACGTTCTCCAGGCTGGTGCGCCCTGGAGCCGGCTGCCGCCCGCCCAGCGCGCGCGGGGTCCTCCCGCCTCTCTCCCCACCTCCCACCCGCCTCGCTCCGCCCGCACACCCCGCAGCGCGCCTCGGAGCTTTATCAGGTCCTCACACACACCGCCCGCTTCCTCCGGCGCCCGGCGCCAGCGACCCCGCCGGACCCGCTCCTCGGAGCCCGGGTCAAGTCCCTCCTCCCGCTCCCGCCACCGCTCCCCCGCCGCGGCGCCCCCGCGCTGCGGCGCCCACCGCGCTCCAGGTTTAATCCCCGGTTGGACCTGCTGTTTTGCTCATCCCCACGCTCAGCCTCTCAGTGAGCCCAGACGAGTGGAATCTGCACACTGAAACTCTCGGTGGCTGGAGCCGGCGGACTGGGCATGCTCAGAAGCCAGGGCTGGCTTTGGTCTCAAGTAGGAAGCTTTTGCACTCGGGAGGCAGCGACGACTTTGGGGAAAGTTGATCCGAGAGGGGAGGAAGCCCCAAGACGCGGAGCAGCGGCAGGAAGGAGCCCCCGGCAGCCCGGAGGAGCATGGGCACCCTGCGGGATTTACAGTACGCGCTCCAGGAGAAGATCGAGGAGCTGAGGCAGCGGGATGCTCTCATCGACGAGCTGGAGCTGGAGTTGGATCAGAAGGACGAACTGATCCAGAAGCTGCAGAACGAGCTGGACAAGTACCGCTCGGTGATCCGACCAGCCACCCAGCAAGCGCAGAAGCAGAGCGCCAGCACCTTGCAGGGCGAGCCGCGCACCAAGCGGCAGGCGATCTCCGCGGAGCCCACCGCCTTCGACATCCAGGATCTCAGCCATGTGACCCTGCCCTTCTACCCCAAGAGCCCACAGTAAGCAGGGGTTGCGCGCCGGGTCGTGTGGCACCCTGGCGCTGGGTAGCTGCGGGTCTCTGTATTGTCTGTCGGCCCCCGCCCCTCGCGCTTGCCATGTCTGTCCTCATCCTCAGAAATGTTTCATTTTAACGGGCACTTCTTGCGGGGCTGTGCACGTTTCTCAGAGCCAGACTCACTGCACATACGTTGCCTTCGTGTCTTTGTCAGATGTCAAGGTATTATTTTTAAATATCATATATACAGTCATAATTGCCACCTAGCGTGCGTAGAGTTTGCGCCCCAAGTGTGTGTCCGACTGTGTGTGTGAGTGTTACAGGAGAAATAAAAAGCCCCCGTCTCCCCAGACCCCTGTCAAAACCAGCCCAGCCGGAAAAATCCTAAATGCAGGCTCATCAGACTTGAAATGAAATGCGTCTGATAGCTCCTCACTTTGCACGCTTTTGTGGCTCTCCGGGATTTCTCTCCCGGCTGGCGCTTCACGCTGGTACCCTTCAAACCTGAGGTTCTGTCGTTATCAAAGTGTAAGAAATAAGCAAATACGCATATAAAAGGGAAGCATTTTTGATTTCCTGAGTCGGATGACATTTACAATCCATAAATGGAAGCCTAGTCTGTTGATTTTTTAAAAATATTTTTCCATAACATCTGAGGGAAAAGATTGCTTGTTTTCCTTAAGGAATTCCTATAACGTTACTACTAATGGAGCAGCCCCATCTCCCCAGAGGGTTGTATGTTTCCAGGGTCAAATATAGATTAGTACACTTACCTTATTTACAACGCCTGGACACGTTGTTTGCTTACTCCTGGCTTCTAAGGCAACCACTCTGGTGCATTGTTCTAGCATTTCAGAGCACTCTGTAGTTCTCATGCCAGTGGGCTTCATAACTTGGATGGGGAAAATTGAATGAAACTTGTTATACAACCCTCAACTCAGAATCCATATGGAGAGTAAAGAAGCAGGAACTGGAGGTTAAGGTAGAATGAGGGGAGAGCCCTCAAATGAATGGCGTTTCTAATTAGTAGAGAATGACATAATTGATCAAATCAAGGATTTTGCTACTCTTAACTACATCTCATTGTCTGGATGACACGTGTTACATAATAATACAGGCTCTCTTAAAACGCTTTGCTTCATAAGGACGAGGAATTAATATAAGGAGAAAGAGTCAATACGAACTTGGTTACCTTTATTTGTATTCATCGGATTTTGTGGGGTTCCCGAGCATACACTAGTTATACTTTTGAAAACTTGGAGTTATACCCGTCCATAGCGGTTCCCATTGGAACATTTGCTGTTCCTCATGCAGGTGACGCCTAAGGAGGAGTTTGTGTTTGGTGAGGGAGTGGAGGAGAGACACTAAGGATAAACATTCCTGAGATTCTGACCTCACCAACTTGCCCTAATAGTTCAGCAGACGTAGATCTGCCTTAGAAACCTGAGTGATCTGAGTCAACTTCAACTTTCCCTGGTAAATTAATTTGCAGTCCTGACATGCCTGCCTGTTTTAGCTAACAAGGTACATGACCATCTCTCCTGGGCCAAGTTTTGCATAATGAAAAAATAACTCAGAGACAGCTCCCTGCATCTTTAAGCATTCCCTCCGATGGCATTTTAGTATCTGCAGGACTTTGGAGTTGCCAGAGCAAACTCCACTCATATGAAAAGACCATTTTAATAGGTTTCATAATGAAGCATGATGGAGCCAGCTGATAACGCCAGTTAAGCATTCTATCAGAGAAGGTCTAAAGGAACCCAGGCAGCAGAGAATGAACTCTGCAGTATGGTAAGTTTTAGAAACTTCGCAGTGCTTGATATGTGGAATAACTAGATTTAAAAGAAAAGTCCACGGTGGAAAATGAAATTAGTGTGGCAAAAATTTTACAGCATCCATTACAATAAACATTTTCTTTATTGAACAATGTTCTGTGTGCTGATATTTATTTAATAACTTGTGTTTTAAGGAAATCAGCTATTCAGGTATTGCCATGATGGATTTGGTGATTCTGAAGAATTTTATTGAAGAAAATGATAGAATGTCTTCTGAGCTTAAATATTTTTGGAAAAACATCTGTTCTTTTTTCACACTTACATAAAGAAAACTAGAATAAAATTGGCTTGAGTAGTAGAATGTGTACCTTTCTGGAAGAAAAGAAGTATATTGTATGCAAAATCACTATATCTTAGGTCATTTGGATGGTTGTACAAGATAGTTTCACAAAGAATTAAGAAAAATTGCCACACCAAAGAAAACATGTTTGCATTTGAATCTATTTCACCATGAATAATTTGAGTAGATGGACTTATTGGCAACAAGTGTTTATATTTTTACAGTTCATCTTTACGGCAACTCCAATTTAGCCATCTTTCTTTAACTTACACATAGATTATTGTGAGTTCAAGTTGAAACAAAACCAACTACACAGACTAAAATGACTTTCAAGTTCACGTAAGTTATGATCTCTTTTTTCGTAGATAGAGGTAACTTCCCCACTAATGTCCTGTTCAATTATTTGATGTATGCAAATATGCTTGTCTAGTTTTTGCTTCCAGAGATTACCTTCTGAGGATTGTAATTTTTAAAAAATAATTTTTTTTTTTTTTTAGTGATTTTGATCATTTAAAATTAGTGTAAAATGTAAACTACTTAACTTTAATCACTTTCACATGTTTGGTTTGGAATTTTCCCTTGAAGGTGAGAACTGGAGGGAAACCTCTGTCAGATTCCAGCCTAGAACCAGGGTACATTTGCTGCAGCTTTGAGGTGGGAGACGTGTTTTTGTTAGGCTCTTACACAATCTGTATAGAGTCCTTAACCTCTTCTTATGTTTTGAATGTGAGCCGAAGAACTGATGCAGGAAATTAGAATCTATATTCAACTAGTACTAAATAACTTCTTAAGAACGTGAAACTGCTAGACTGTATATTTTGAAATAAATTGAGCAAATAAACTCTAAAAAGTGAAAAAAGAAAGCCCAATGATCCATTATAGAAAATCAGATTGCCTGTTAATTGTATATATGGAATAGGCCTTATGGACTTTCAAAGTAATTTTATTTCATGACATTTTATTTCTGAAAATTGACTCCATGATAAGTTACAATATCCAGTTTCTGACATTTTGATCTAAACCTTTTTACCTACTGAAAGTATTCCCGGATCTTTTTCCTTTTGCTGTCACAGGGTTCTGTGTCATTTCAGATGTATTATACAGACTTCAGTTCCTGAAAGTTGTTCGTGTCTGTATTTATGTTAAACTTTTATTCTCATCCCAGGAGTAGTGGAGTTTCAGTGAATTACAACATGTTCTGCTCTGTTTTACTTTTTGATTGTGAAGTACTTTCCAAGAGCTGAAGATAAAAGGAGACATAGTTCCTCATTTTTAAGGAGGCATTAATTTTAGACAGATCTTATATGATCTTTTTAAACCTTGACACTAATATATCTCAAGAGAAATAGAATCTTCCTAAAGGCTGTCTGTTAAATTCTGTAGAAATTTGAGAGAATTCTAGAATAATCAGAGATTGGCATGCTCTTATTAATAAAACATAGATGCTATTCAAAGGTAGAAATTAAATTCCAAATGTGACCTACAACTCAGTTCAATACTTTTGCTGTGTGCAAAAAATATTTAAAGGCACTAGAGGTGAGAGATACGTAGGTTGTGCCATTAAGGAGTTAATAAGGGGGTAACATTGCTACGCTAGTCAATAGTCTCGGAAGCAGAGTAAGCTAAGTCCCAGAGGAATAATTAAGACAGTTGGCAAAATGATATCAAGCCCATTTAATTTTATGGTATCAGAAACTCTTGTGTCTGTGGAAGTATTTAAAGTAAGTATTTGAAGGATGGCCCTGATATAGTTGAATGGAAATGAGATGCAAAGGGGAGGGGGAGACAGATTAGCAAAGAGACAACACAGAAAAGGAAAACAGAGCATATCTGGGGATTGGCAGAAACTAGTGGCTGTATTAGAGACCACAGAGGGAATTGACAGAAAGCAAGTTTGGGCCAGCAAGAAGAGTCTTTATATGCTTTCTAAAGTAGGGGAGAGGACGTTCTGCTTGCTCTTAGAATCATCAAGGATTATTTGTATGTATGTTTTACACTGAGGGTTGATTGTTACCTACTAGCAAAGTTCTGAATCTCAGAATATCAATTCAGCCCTCTTAACACCCACTAGCACCGTCCTGGAGATAGTCAAAACTATGCTAATTGGATACGAGTATTTCATTTAAGCAAACCCATAAATGATTAAAACTCTTAAACCAAGTTCCATCCTTAAAGACACCACGTTGCTTTTTCCACTAACTTCAGAAATGTTCTGCTGAAAATAATCTAATTTTCTGCCCCAGACTAGCAGTGCAGTTTCCTCTCCATACTTAGGCAAACTGGACATAGATGAGAATGAAACCTGAGGTTGGTTTTGGAGATTCATCTTTCCCGTGTGTGTGTGTGTGTGTGTGTGTGTGTGTGTGTGTGTGGTTTGTCTGCTTCTTGTGGACGAGTTAAACTCTGCCCCAACATTATTCCACTAGAGTTTCTAATTTAAGTTTGATCATTAATTTGACATTCCAGTCTGTGCAATAAAATTGAATAAAATTGAAGTCGTGGAAGCCTTTATAAAAATGTGTGAGACCAGGTTGCAAGACCCTGTTAGGGTGTTTTGAAGCACAGTCAAGTTGTACGCCCTTAAAATGGGGTTTCTAATGACAATACTGAGGAGCCTTTAAATAGAATAGCTCTAGAGACTGCCTGAGAATATAAACGACCGGCTTCCTTGCTCTGCTGGGCCACATTTCCAAGCTCCTGTTATTTGTTACTGCACCAAAGAGTTGGGTTTGGATTCCTAATGGGAAAGGTAGAGGAATGCGGGCCATGTTCCCGTGGTTGCCGTTTGCAGGTTATAAGGCATATGGACACATTTTTTTCCCCCTGTTTGCCTAGCGATGGAGGGTCTTCATGGTATCCTAGCAACCATATCCGAACACCAGGCTGCTG